TACAATGATCTAACCATCAATTGATACAACTGCTCAAAATGCTACATAACTGTTGCATTACGCTTGAAGCATCGTTTTTATGGAAAATGATGAACAATATTAAATGTTTAGATTATGAAAGTGAAACAACTGAGAACTGAGTATGTTCAGGTATGATCAGTTTCAAGATGGCTGTTGTTAAGAGAAAGAAATTCTATATCATTGTTATCAGTATTTGTTTTTCCTACAGTAAATTTAGAGGGTGATACAGCTGGAAGATGATGAAAACCGTTCATATTTTTGGATGAGGAAGGCTTTACCCTGGCCATGACATGGAGGAGAGGTTGAGAGCCCAGCGGTTGAGAGGGGCCCAGAAAGATGTTCGCTGAGAGCGATTTGAAAGCATAAGGAGCCGTCTGCTCTGCTCTCTATAGCTCTTGTGAAATAATGTCATACAACGATCTATCTGCACAGCGCAAACAGCCAAAACCTGGATATTTTAGGCAATATAGAAAGCCTGGCAAGGGTGCGTCCAGTAAAAATGTCCCGTATGGTCACCCTAATTATGATGGGGATGAGAACCAATGGCCAAATCCACAAGACAGGGTTGATAAAAACATAGAAATGCAGTGAGAAACAATCCAGCTGACATTTTATTGTATGCCTACTGTAGTTTTTTCTTATCTTTTTTTTTTCTTATTTAAAGTTTTTTTTTGAAAAACCTGTTATGAGTTGATTATTTCATCAATAATTTTCAAATTTTATTTAATGATTCCAGTGTCTGTACTTTTCTCTCTCGTCTATTACAATGGTGTATAAATGTGTAGAACCATAATGAAAGATGCATCATGTGTTTTGAACAACTACTGTATATTTAATGATTCTACTAAAAACTACACAGTGAAACTATGGGTATCTTGTGTGTGGGTGATCTAAAGTAATGTTCCTATGATATTTCATAATACATGAGTTTTTTTGAACCAATGCTTCTGCAAATGCAAGGCTTCTGAACGCAATATGCAAGGTTTTGAACATTGGACAGCCTGTTACAAATAATAACTGTTTTGAGTTTTGTGTCTAGAGTTTTGATAAAATATATGAAGGTTCTGTTATTAGAGCAAAAATGATTGTAAAAATCTGTAATGAGTGACTGTCTTCAGGTAAATGATGTGGAGAGTGTTTGCATATTGATCAGATGCTTCAGTGCTCTGAGAGTGTTTATAGTGCTGTGAGTTTAACACTTCATCACTGACACACACAACAATCTTCATCAACATGACCTTCATCATCATCTTCATCTGGACTCTCACAGCGTTTCAGCGTTTGCTGTGGAGCACAAGTTTGATTTGAATTTATTTCTTCAAGTATAATGTCAGAGTTTTGAGTTGATTTTCTTCTTTTCTTCTGTTTCAGAGAGTAGAGGACAGATCAGCGTCACTCAGAGTCCCTCAACGACAGCAGCTCAACCAGAAGAAACAGTCAAAATCAACTGTAGAACCAGCACAGATGTAGCAGAATATAGTGCGCCACGTTACTATTTAAGCTGGTACTTACAGAAACCTGGAGAAGCTCCTAAACTCCTGATTTATTATGCAAACACTCTCCAGTCAGGCACTCCATCTAGATTCAGTGGCAGTGCATCATCTGCGACTGATTTCACTCTGACCATCAGTGGAGTCCAGACTGAAGATGCTGGACATTATTACTGTCAGAGTTACCACAGTGGT